CATATACAGGCTAAGGCATAACCATCAATATCAGTAACCCTTCCTGTCCGTTGGCAATTTTCAATGTGTGGTTGCCATTTTTACTAGGTTGTTGCCATCGATGAAACTTTGCCTGAACACACTTTAAACGTTATAGTTTTGAGAAAAATTAGTCTTGACTTCGTAAAAATTCGGCAAGATACTGAAAACTAAACATAAAGTCATGTACTTACATTCGATACCCGTCAAGATGGCGGCGGCGGCGTCGAAGGCCATTTGAAAACTGTCGCTTTTAACTACCGAAATGTGGCAGGAAAGTTCCCTTGACATTCAAAAAGCAAGGAGAAGGCTTCTTCACCGGTACTGCTAGCTCGGAAGTCCCGGATATTGAACGAGGAGAAGTGGAACAGGCTTTGAAAAAAGCTCCCTTGTTTCTTGCGATTATTTTTTCCTATTTTTGCGTGTTTTTAGCAGAACAATGGAATCATGACGTCATCGCTTCTTCCAAAACTGGCATACTCCCGAACTGGTAATGTTATTGTATTAAATTCAATGTTTTGTTTTTAAAAAATTGTATCTGTCTACTGATACTGTAAGTCGTTATATCGGGGAAGATTTTACGCTCGGTGCGCTAAAAACTCATCGTTATATCGGGAATATCGTTATATCGAAGATCGTTGTATCGGGGTTCTGTCCCATACATTTTACTGTAACTTTTGCCGGGACATAGCATATTTATCGTTATACCGAGGATATCGTTATATCGAGGATCGTTGTATCGGGGTTCCACTGTAATTTATATGGTAAGCGATTTATTAGTTTACCGCAGAAATGCCACATCCGTTACGGTTTGAATCCAAAAAAGAGGCGAATTTGTGTAGTGTGAGTCTCCAACCGAGAAGGAACCGAGAAATTGGTAAATGGTAAGCAACATTTCGTTTGGTTCGTACCAACCGGAATGAAAGGACTAACTAAACGTACTCCTTAGTTTTCGGTTGGAATTTCCGAAAAGAGACCTTACCATTTACCTTCCATCCGGAATTTCCGAAATTTTCTTTCAGATGGTAAACACCTCGGGTGATACAGGCATTTTTTTTTTTTTTTGTAACATTTTCGTTATTACGTTTTATGTTTACAAGGCGGTCCTGCTCGTCGAGATCTCGACTCTAGCAAACAGGAACTCGGCCCGGGGGGGTACTCGCAGAAAAATTGGGTAGGGGTGTGCGGCACGCTTCCCAAAACCCTTACCCTATTTATGACCAAAATCTGCGATTTCCCCTACCCTATTTATGACCTAACCAAAAATTTGATACCCTATTTTGTGAAGGGTTTTTGTTGCTTGTATTTTCTAGCCTACAAAGCAGCCGGTGGAGAGGAAGGCAAAGCGCGGATGGAAGGAGGGGGACATGATAAGGAAGTAGCTTCTTCTAAAAAAGTGCATTCAAGACTACAGTGCAAAAATCGTTACCCTATTTATGACCATAATGGCGGCAAAATAGCCAAAATCGATACCCAATTTATGACCAAAACGGCTGAAAAACCCTACCCTTTGGGGCCGCACATACCTATATAGCCCATATTAGGGAGTACCCCAGGGGAACTCGGCAAGCTCTTCTTACATGAAAGAATGCATGACGATGACCTGAGCCAGCCCGTAATATTTACTTATAATATTTTTCTGTAATTGTTACTGTGGTTGCGTCACTATAGACGACACTAAACCAGTCACGCATTATCGGGAAGACGGATTCGCCTGTTTAGTCGGGTTTGAATGTAGCAATGTATTCTTTAACCTGGACCATGTGGACGCTTCTTTCTTTCCAAATCTTTTTAATTTCTTTCCACTTACAAACAGGCAGCGCCACATCTGTCACTCCAGGTGAGATTAGCCCTAAATCGATCATCAGGTTTTGACAATTTGAAAGTATATCTTTCGATTTGTTTCCTTGTGGTATGCAGATCACGTACATGGAACTTGCATACAAATTTGTGACAAATTGAAAGTTACTCGTTGGAAATAACTAAGTTATTCAAGCTGTAACCTTTTTAAAATTCCGATAGTTTGTCGCCTATGGGACTGTAGCCTGAATTATGCACTGTATAAAACCCAGAACAGGAATATGACCGCCACAGGTAGATTAAGTATTGGATAGGTATTATTTGTGGTATATACAATCAGAATTTCTGTTTTACGACTTATTTTTAGGAGCTCACAACACTTGAATACCGTCACATATGTACTAGTACCCTTAGATAGTTCTGTCAGCTCGTACAAGAATTGCCATTGGCCTCTTACGAGGTCAGTCTGCTAGAACAGTACTATAAATTGCAAGTATAAAGTTTTAATACGTAATTTAGTATTTACTTATTTCTTTCCCCCGTTTCACAACTTTACAGACGTCATTCCTAATACCGAGTGAATCGGATCATAAGACTCTATTAATTTCACAAGCAATGGATTTTTTTACTAAGACCTGTTTTATAATTTGAAGCGACGTCGCTAGGCCAAAAGAGAGCATCTAGTAAACTGAGTCACTTGTTTTAAACAAACACAAGAACAAAACATTGCCGATATCATCATTATGTTATGAATTAATAATTACTTCTGCTCGCATTTTCCTTAGCGTTGGAGCAATATGGAGTGGACATCAGTGATAGAGCCAGGAGGAGTTTCGCTGAATCCTCCTCACCCCTATTCTTCAGGGGCACCCAACGACTGTTTTCTGTAAAATATCTGTTCGGAAAAGCAAACATGGCCTAGAATTTTCTATTGGTTTAGGACGGCTAAAAATTTCTAGATGGCCATCTCATTCATGTGCAGTTTTCGAAGCTTGTCTAATTATAAATTTCCTACCTTTTTCTGAACTTTATTTTATTTCGGATTCAAAAATGTAACGGAGAGAGGAAAACAGAAAAATTCTCTCTTTCGTAAAATGTTAAATTTCATCTAAAATTTTCGGGAAAATAATACATGAAGCCCTTGTAATTTCGAAAAGTCCCCATATATAGCCATTTTAAAGCAATCACCACACATATAGGGAATGAGCTTCCATTTTGAATACTATAAAAAAGAGTCTGTTGCCTTCAATATGTTTAAGCATGAGGCTGAGCCGATTAGTTTCGAAGTTTAAACGGAATTTACTATTTAGGAATGGGGAAGTCGGTTAGACCTGCCATCCGGCCATGGATACTTACATAAATTGTCATGTTTATGCGGTTGTGTACGACAGGTGACCAAGCCTAGCAATTAAACTAACAGAACCCGGAGAGAAATTCATAAAGCAGACAGAATATATACAAAACTGTAAATATCTTCTAGTTTTGGAAATTTAAAGTCAAGAAGTATATCTTGAATTTTCTTGACATGACAGCAAAGTAGTAGCAATTTCGTGTTATGTGATTAACCTATCCAGATGCGCACATTGAGTAATTCACTTCTTGACAAATGTTAAGCTAAATTTTTTAACAATCAAATTCAGTGTGCGCATGCTGAGCAAAACCCTCTAGTTTTGCCACTATTTATGAAGCATTAGGCCTCCCCGAGACGAAAAGCGTATATATTTTAATTTTCCCTAAAATTAGACCGCAACTTTGATTCTTAACATTTCTCACTCTTGATAATGATGTTCGAATCATCGAGCCGTCGAGTATAACGTTTTTAAGTTTAATTTTTCCTGTTTATACAGACAACCGGTTTAACGGTCAATATATATGGAATGTCCCTTTGGTGTCCTCAGTCCGTAATAACTGGGTCCCACTGTCAGATTGACCACCGTCAAAATTAATTGAACTTGATGACCGTAATATTAGAGATCAGAGAGTAAAACTATAGTAAAAAAAAAACTAGTTAGAAAACTTGAGTACTGACAGTATTGTTTCCGTGGTCCACTGATGAATTTCACAGATAACTCGACAAATCTGTTTCATGGAGAAGGCAAGACTGTATTGAGAACACCGAATGACTCTGAAGTATAAAAAAGGTTAGGAAACTGAGTGACTCAATTTTCAGGTGAGTTTGCTTCAGTAGTATAATGACCCTAAATGGAGCCTGGGTCACTCAAGTTTCCTAACCCAAATCACTAATCTTCAGAGTAATTATGTGTTCGGCGGCCGTTCGGTGTTCTAGAAAATACCCCTGCCGCTATGCCTACTGCAGTCTTACATAATGTTACCACTAGGTCATTAAAGTAATCCAATGAGCTCTTTAATATACATGTCTACATCACGAAACAGGACTACATCTTCTTAGTACAGGCTCAGCGGGTCTCTTATCGTTCTGCGGAAATTTTCTGTTTTGCAGTGGTATCCACTTCGTCATTCGTAGCCTCTCATGGGTCGAGTTCTACTGAGGTAGTTGTCTTGACAACTACAACTTTAAACACAAGCACTATCCAGCCTTCAGAAGTTTCATCGACAGTAGTTACTGTACCTTCCTCATCAGGTAAGCGATCGTTTTAAGCTGTTGAATAATCTCATTCCCAGAGTCCTCGTTACCCTTGTCCAGCGGAACGGGCGACGCGGACCTCTGGGATAATCCATTTTCCCGTGACAGGATTCTTGGTCTCGTCTCATCTGCACAAGCGTGAAAAGAAAATGCTTATAGCGTCCATTTAAAAAGTCATGCGCAATGCTGGTCGCTGGACAATCTGCCTCGCTCTCAGGCAATCAAGCACAATTATGGCGCGGAAAACAGACTGGAGCACATGGCGTCATGGGAATTCTTCCCAAGATACCACGCGCACATCGTGAGTGCTAAGAGCCCGACGCTCGGGAAAAGTGGCTTAAGTTTATGGTTATGTTAGAGTTTACCATTCTTGACAGGTATTTGATCACTGAATAAAATAACCGCAACCATCAAAAAAGGCATATCAGACTTACTTCATGAAAGAAGATCTTAATCCTTTGACAAAAATGTCCTAATGCAGGATGAGCAAAGTCGAATGTATGAGATTGTGAATTAATGAGTGCTTTGTCTTTCATGATAGTTCTTTCCCCCTCTACATCATCCCCGCCTTCCGAAGGGGAACAACAGGCAGTGTTATTGACAGTAGCCGGAATGACTATCGGAGATGTAAGTAATTGACGCCATTTTTTGAATTCCTACCTAAAGTGACTGAGTTGAATGAGTTTGTCTTTAAAGGGCAACTCTCAGGAAAATTACCGGGGCTGTTTTTTCTGTTGTTGTTGTTGTTGTTTGTTTTACCTTTTCTACGGTTTCCTTATAGTACGTAATATCTCCCTTCGATGAAATTACAGTTATATCTGCGAAACGTATTTTTTTAAGATTTTCATAAAACTCGTTTTTTGCCGCCATTGTGGTCATTGTGAAAACATACGGATTTCGGTCACGTGATTTTACGTCACAGGTGTGGAACACGGATTCTCAAGTGAAGATTGTAAGGGAAAAACGAACTAAACTTCTCTTGATGACCAACCCTCGCCCGCGGTACAGGGAAGTGTTACATATCGCGAAAATCTAATAGACATCAACGACAAGGGCGCAGCGTAGAGACTAGAGACGTTATCGATACTAGCTTGTCAGAAAAGGTTCTAACCTTCTCTTATGGACACTCTGAACAATAAATATGTACATGGTACATGGTACATACAGGGTTCGCAAATACGCCAAATTTGGCGTATTTTACGCCAACATTGTTCAGATGACTCCACAGAGGTTACGGAGGGAGTCACTTCGACGCGAGAAATTTTCGGTAACAAACAGGGAGCCACTTCGACTGCAGAAATTTTCGGTAAAAAACACAGTTTTGTCCTTACCATTTTCGCAACAAATCAAATTTACGTTAATTGTAAACGTTGTAAACCTTAATTAAATCATCGAAATTAAAGAATTATACTGCACGACCAAATAGGAAGAGGGTTAATTACGATCAAAGTTTATTGGATGACCGCCATCATGGATTTGAGCTTTCCAGGTCAGCGGACCGCCACAGCCACTTCGTGTATCCATCACGATAGTGTATACACGAGAGGACTACGTGCTCGAAAGTCTGAAAATGGCTTTTTTCGTTGTGATACTTGACTCCAAATATTCCTAAATGACTCCAAAATTTGTGAAGCAGAAGTCACAGTGACTCCACTCATCAATAAAATTTGCAAACCCTGTACATAGTACAAGTGACTGTTACATATATCGCAAAAATTTAACGGATATCAATGTCACCAGCATTTCCTTTTACTTTGTAGAACCGTTTAGCGATACTAGCTTGTCAGAAGAGACTCTAGATCTCTAATTCATTCTCACAGACTTCCACAACAAGTGAAGACGTTCACAGTGAAGTTCGGGAAAATAGTCAGACTCGAAAAAAGAAATTTGAATTCTTCAATGAAAACGCCCTATTTGTTTTATTTTTTTCACTTTTGCTTGTGTTAATTTTAGTAATAGTTTACTGGAAATGAATTATTCTTCCCCCTTTTTTTCAGTTCCAACTGAAAAAAAGCAATTTTAGCATCGCTTTGAAGACAGTCGTGGAGATGTACTGCTCACGCCGCAGTTGTGAAGAAACAAGTCGGAAGAGGTACAATAATAAACAGCAAAAACAAATATCAACTCTCCGAACCAAGTCATACGAGTAGTATCAAACCGTAAATAGGAAATACCGTGCGTTGAGTGGCCTGTTTGCGAAGGCGAGGAAAGTTGGTGTCAGCGAATTTCAGGTTACAAATTGAGTCTTTCTGAGAGCCCGACCTCGAAAACCGATATTCTAATTTTTTGGCCGAAACAATTTACATTAGGCTTCTTGACTACCTGTTGTTCTGTTATACGAGCTTATTAATTCCTCTAGCTAACTACCAGCATATGGGTTTTGTAGAGGAGGGATCAGTAGATTATTTCAAACAAGAATTTGTTCGTAAGGCTCTACAAGTATCATCGAATTTTCTCTGAAAATTAGATATTGCAATATGGAAGCTGTTCTTTAGGTGGCAACTTTACGACCAGCATATGGAAAAGCAAGTTCCATGTGTTAGGACAGCTTCTGGAAATTTTCGCTGGTTTACGACAACTACAAGTAATTTTGCGGTTTCTAAATGTGCCCTTCGACCCTCTTCAAATTTGTCTTTCGGAGAATGGTTGACTGATTTTCAAAGCTCCCCCGAGTACTAATGACACTAATATATCAAAAACTGACCGTTAACGGATCGTTAAGTCTCTAATAGCATTCTGGGCTATACACAATTTAGTTTTCTCTTTCTTGCGTTATTTTTATGGTCGGAAAATGGAAATGGTTGTTGATTTGTTAAATAGGCCATGGAAAATTGTTCTGGATTTGTTAAGGAGAAGAGGTTGTACAGTGTATATGGACTAAGATTCCACTGTAATAGTGAGTGTATGATCCAAGCTATCCGGTAAATCTAGGGTTCAAAACTTTATATGACTGGAGTTATATTGTTTTATTGCAAGACGGAGATATGTTCAACAATATCAATCCACCAGCTGAGTAAAATTCCCAAAACAACAAGCACTTGAAATTGTTTTATTCCGTTCCTACTTTCAGGCGCGCAACGAGTGTTGAGCAAGTATACATAGTATCCGGGTATCCGCAAGAAAGCACCTTTTCCCCAGGCGAACTACTGGTAGCCGTGTTTATATCTACAGGCGGAGGCAAATTCCTATCAGAAGACGCTCTTTTAGCTGTTGTTGAAGAGTTTCGCGCAAACCTTAGCGCTGCGTTGGGCAGAGAGATTACAGGTTTGGGTCGACTTCATCCAGATTTCGTCCAGGCAACAGAATCGTCAGGGAGTTCAGGAAAAAGCAACATCTTGTACTACTTCTTTGCGGCATTTGGCGGCGCGTTGCTGCTTTTGGCAGTTTGTATATTTGTGACTTGCTGGTAAGTATAAGGATACTTTAATTTAATTCAATTCATTCCAATCGCAATGCCTACATAATTATGAAATTTATAAAACGAAGCCAATAAATGCAGTGGGGTAGTACTAAAAAGAATTTGCGCGGGAACGATACTTGCTAGAGTTTTTCCTAGTTCAAACTCGCCACCCCCAACCCCCCCTCAGATGGTGGGGAGCGAGTTAAATCGTACGGAGGGTAAACGAGGGGGAAAACTAGGGGAGATTGTCCTTATTTTGAACAGGCTACATATTTCCCGGAAGCCCGAAACCGGCCCTGTCGGTGAGGCAATAGTGAACTTACGCAACAGGACGGGAGAGGAAAAAAGACTGCAAAGCTTGTGGTAATAATTTTGTTTGAAAAAACTTGTCTCAAACCTCATCTTCCTTTAAACCGTCCTTTTTGTAAAAGACCAAAAAACACTGATATTTAGTGAAGATCACTTCAGAACATGCAAGTAATAGCCCGGTCACGTTTGTCACACAAGTGTTTTGCCGCCCTCCTGTTGCTTAAACTCACTACTCATACAGAAAAACAGGAGATTGTGACCAGCCTGGGGCAATTGATGTGTTTTAACCTTCTTAACATTTTACCGTGTTTTTGTTTGCTTTGTAGGCTTGGCCGTAAAGAAAATTCAAACGGCAATGAGGTGAGACCGCTGACCACGAGTAACTTACAACTCGTTGAAAACCAAGGTGGACAAAAAACCTAACAACGCAACTAGACGCAGACTATAATGCTACAATGCCGTGATGCTTGAAACTGCCGTTTGTACATATGCTCTGTTGTGTAATTCTTATACACAGTAGAACCCCGATAACTCGAACTGGGATAACTCAGATAACACTAACTTCGAATTCATTAGAGTCTTTTAATTTAAATCTAATTTATCTTAGGTAACAGTTTCATAGTTATTTTTATTTTTATTTATATCATGATTGCATATTATTTTACGGTTGGTGTGATGTCTTAGCGATTTTTACCGTCGCAATATATGTACATGTAGATGATGTAGATGCCACTCCCCGCGCTATCTCGAACTAAGTCCAATTTCCCTGGGATTTCACCCTTTTTTCCAGTCATTTTTACTTGGTTAACTCGAACTCTAATAACTCGAATTCCCACTAACTCGAACTAACTTTCCTTTCTCTTGATCAAAAATTCGCTGAAATTTACCCCGATAACTCGAATTCTAGTTCTTGGAACTAAACTCGTATGCCATTCCATTAGCTCTTCATATTGTAAAAGGGTAAAAACACTAAACTAACACTGCTCAACAAAAAAAAATTGATTTTAAATGGTGAAACGAACAGATCACGTTTCATCATTAAAAACGCCTAATCATGTTGCCGCTTCTGATGAAATAAGTTAAATTTCCATTGCACCATACTCGGAAGTGCTGAAAAATCAGTAACTATCAATTTTTAACATGGCAAATTGAACTTTGCAATCGACCCCGATAACTCCAACTGTTTTTCGTTTCCCTTCAGAGTTCGAGTTACCGGGGTTCTACTGTGACTATCTCAGCTGTTAAAAAAGGTTCAGGTCAGCTCAAAGAAAATAAGCATATATTTATATCGAAAGGCGTTTTAGAAGTAGATCGTCATTGTACCACTGCCAGGGTTATATTTAAGCAACAGAAAACGTTTTCCGTGTTTGAAAAGCCTGATATAAACACGAGAGGGGTTGGGAGAATTCGAGACCTTTATGCAAACACTCGACTTTGTCTCGGGTTTGCATAACGGTCGAGAATTTTCCCAACCCCTCGAGTGTTTATATCAGGATATGCAAACAAAGGCGAAAAATTTTCTATTGCTTTTTTAAAATAACTTTCAAGAGAAAAAAAGCAAAACTCTCTTGTTCAGAGCACTGATTAAAAGAGAAATTCTTACCAGTCGCGAAGTCTTGCGCACGAAGCTCGTGCGCGTAATCAGTCCTTGTTTTTGCAGAAAAGATGCTTTCCAAAATGAGGGTTCTTCTCGCTTAAAGTGTCAGCTCAAGCGAAAAAAATTGACACTGCATGTTTCTAAAGATTCTCCAAGTTTCAGCCGACGAGGAAATGGGTAAATCAAGTAAACTTGACGAGTTTTTCAACTCAAAAACTTTTTGAAATTCGTGCTTGCGTGATTAGCGCGCGAAAAGCCAGACATCTTGACGTCACAACCCATGTTTACATACTCTCATGCAAACACGCCTCTCGGCTAATCAGAGCGCGCGTACTATCTTAGTTATATTATAAATACATATCAGTTAATTCCCTGTTTTTGCTGGTCGTGTTCCAAAAGAAACTTCCTAGCTATGACGAATCATTGTAATTTGTATCATTTTAATGGCCTGGTACCTCAAGAACAGAATGCGCGACTTGCTCATGGGACAATTACATTAGCGTAGGGTCTGTCCTATAGAGAGTAACAGAAAATGACTGAACAACAGCAGTAATCACGTACTAAGAGCCATTATGGCTCCTGCTCGTACCCTTTTGTAACATCAAATTAAACGCGGCAGCTAGTTTAATTTGATGCTCAAAGCGTAAAACGCTCAAAGCGTAAAACAGTACACGTCAACTTCTACGCGACAAAATTTTTACCATACCCTTTTGAACAGTCTTTATCCTTATACCGAGAGAAATTTTAAAAAGTTGTCAAGGTAAGATAAAGAGAGTTTGACAAGCTATATTGATACGGAAAGCTACTTATAATTATTCCTCGAAAATACTGTTTTGAACAAAACTGAAGACTTCGTAAAGAATGAATTGTACACGTCATAGCGCATGCAGCGCACGCAGATTACAACACTCACGTCTCTCCTTCACAATCTAGCCAATCATAAAAAGTGAACTTTCTTACTTGACCAGATCTCGCCTTCGGCTTTGTCGATAAGAGATCTGGGTACGAGATCTCAACAGCAGGGACCAGCTCTAGGTGTCCGTTTTCGGATGGTGTACGTCTTAAGGAGGAGGTCTCCTGAGGGGAATTAAGTCTGATTTACAGTCGACTCTCTCTTAACCGACACCTCTATAAGACGGACACCTCTGTAAAACGGACACCTAGTGTTGGTCCCTTTCTTTCTTTCCTCCCTCTATTTGACTCTCTAAAAGACGGACATCTCTCTAAGACGGACAGCTAGTGCCGATCCCAAAGGTGTCCGTCTTAGAGAGAGTTGACTGTATTGACCAATATAGTTTGAAAGGTACCACTTTTTACTACTCATTGGTGAAAATTTTTAGTGATAGCTAATGGCAAGTCTTCAGCAATGGGGTACGGGTTTAAAACGTGAGAATCCATTTCGTTGGCCATAAGTTGATTGACGCCTTTTGTTGTTCGGCTCAGCTCAAAGTTGTTGTTGTTAAATGGTTTTATTTTTCCTTATTTTTGGACCAAATTTGCAATGATTTGTATTCAACAACTAAAATTTAAAGCAAGCGTGTTGTTTAAACATAAATGTATATATGAAAAGGGTAGATGCAATAGAATTCATACAACTGTAAATAAACGACTTAAAAATCAAAAATACCATTGTACTCTTCTATGTGCAGTAGACTTGAGTTAGATCCAACACAAGCGACATGAAATATACGGATAAGAACGGTAAATAAAGACCGTTTTGGGAAAACATGAGCGAAACGTTTTTCAAAAACACAGAGATTGTGCGAAGAGCAGTGAACAGGTGAAGTTTCTATGAAAATATTTTGGCCTACCCGACATCCCGAACCCTAGCTTTTCAAGGTGGCTATACTCTACCACGACCAAACTTTATACAGTGGAACCTCGATATAACGAAAGCTCTGTATATCGAAGTTCAAGGTATAACGAAGATTTTCCTCACTCCAGTAAAAGTAAAATATATGAAAAAAATCGATATAACGAGACCTCGTTATAGCGAACGTTTTTTGCCACTTGGCCCTTCGTTTTATCGAGGTTCCACAGAATTTGCCTCGGTTAATCAACGGTTTATGTCCGTCCGCAGGTTATGGTAGGCCTAGGTTCCTGGTTGGTCACTATCGACCGACAGCTTTTCCTCTTCTCCAACCGCTAAATGCTTGTTCATGAATTCGATCATTCTTCCCACAGACAACTCGGCTATCGCCTTGTTATAGTTGCTACTTTGTGGATTTGTGAAAGCGTGGCCTGCATCGTACTCGTAAAATTCATAATCCACCCCTCCTGCTTTCAATTTCTGCTCAAGTTTCATGTACTCTACGGGATTAGCTGTGTTAGACGAGTCGTTTTTACCAAAGTGGCACTGAACAGGAATCTTAATTGTAGACACGTTAGCTAACGATATATCGGGGATGCCATAAAACGGGGCGGCAGCCGAGATTTCTGGAACTAGAGCAGCCGCTGCCAAAGACAGGGCACCTCCCATGCAGAAACCTGTGACGCCAACTTTCTTGCAGCCTGATTTGAGAAGAAACTGCGCTGCTGCCTTGATATCTTGGATTGCTCCTGCGAAAGAACAAAAATGTACCACGTGTATACAGTTCGTAATACAAACTGAGGAAAGGGGTCGTAGCCAACAAATACAACCGTCTCTTGTCACTTCTCGTCGCTAGGGACGTTTCGCGGGAAAAAAAACGTTGTCTCTCCCGCGAAACTTCCCTAGTGCTGAGGAGCACGGAGAGAGAGCTGTATACGCAGGCTAAAGCTATGCTGTCCGCTACAACCTTTGCTAACCTGCGATCAAGAAGCCTCTTGTCATCGTCAAAGTTGGAGGCAAAATCAACTTGCACATTAAATTTCTGTTTCATAGAATGCAAGACAGCCGTTTTTTCCTCAACAGCAATTTTTCACCAAGTGAGATTTTCGCCCGAAGTCTTACTCTTCGTTTCACCCTCGCTCCAGGACTTTGTTTGACCGCTCCCGAGTTCTTGACCTTCGCCAAAATAAGAGCTGTCTGGTCCCGTAATTGTGAGTTGACAGGGAAATCTAGAATATCATATTGACACGCCTTATTCTACCATATGCCCTCGATTTGAGACGTAACACCCGTAGGAGCATCTCGCGTGACCTGTCAGCTTCGACATAACGACGTAAAAATCAAAGCAGGACATTGACATGAAGTAAACGAGTAATAAACAGTTGAATGAGTTGGAAATTAAAGGCTTAGTTTCTTATGAAACTGAACTGTTGCCTTTGGTAGGGAAATGAATTAATACAAAGATTTTGTTTCATCGAGTTATTACCGTGGGGAGATAAGCCCCGTGCAAACGGACGCAACATTGTGGGCCAACGACTCCCAACAGTTCCCGGATGTTACATTTTGCATCCGTTTGCACAACCTGTAATCCGCTACACAACCGTCAGGAGCGTTGCGTGACGACCCTAAAAACGGCTGTGTAGCAGACTACACAACCTGTAGCATGCTGTTGGGCGTTGTTGAAAGATGTTGCGCAAAGTTTGAGACTGTACAAACTTTAGCTACGTGCAAACGGACGCAACAACTCTCGACACTAGCATTGTTGGTCCAACAATGTTGAGAGTTGTTGCGTCCGTTTATGGCACTTTCAGTTCAGTTCCCCACCCCCAACTAAGGTGGTTAATCTGCCTTATCAATTCAATTGATAAAACCAAATCTTTGTAATAAATTGAACAAAATCAGGAGCCGACAAAACAGCAATGCAAGATATACGAAAGCTAAATACATGTACAAGTGAGCAACACACACGGGGAAGAGACACGCGTGGCGATTTCCACGCGCGTTGGAGAGACTACTCGTCATGTAGTTATGTAATAGCTTTCAAGAAACGACCTAACAGCGAACAAAACTGCCAACCCTGCTGAATCTCTTGCTGGTTGACAAAGTATGCAGTCTACTCAGATAAGAAATTAGACAAAGTGGAGACAAAGAGTAGCGGTAGCTGATAGAACACCGGCAAACGCTAGAGGAATCATGCCGCTTTAATAAAGATAAAAAAACATTCAAAATATCTATCATTCTAGCTAGCTGTTAAGATAGCAACCAAGAATGTAAACTAGAAGCCAATAACCCTCGAAGGCTCCTGATCAAACTAAAAACGCCTCAACGCCATTATTAAGAACAAATTCTATATTGCTGGTTGTCCAGAATAACTTTGAATGTTTTTTACACTATACACATAAACTTTAAGTTGCTGTTCACGGTAAAAACTCACCTGGATAATCCAGGCCACGAGTGATATGCAAAGCTTCTGTAAAGTTTCTGGCAACCCTTCCTCTGTACAAATCAGGAACCATGGTTACAAAATTGCCCAGTTCTCCTATATGCCTCGCTTGTTCCTTGATTTGTTCATTCATACCCCACCATTCCTGAACAACAACAAGGCATTTGCTTGGAGCCTTCATGCCTCCGTTGAGTGATCCGGGGCAGTCGCCAAGCGGATTCAGTGAACTGAAGTTCACTGCTTCTTTTTGTACATAAACAGAGTCAAAATTCACGTGCAGGTTAAGTATAACGGAGAGGAATCCAGGCAGCTCTTCAAAAAGCAACATTTTGCTAGCCTGTACTAATGCGACACTAACTTGCATGCAAAGTGTATTTCTAGAATGCACTGTGACTCAGCACTAAATTAGAATGCATTGTCACGCTAGTCTATTTGGGTATTTGTGATGGGCCATAAATATTGATTCTTTTGTTTTACTCTCCTAACGAAGGCTGACATGAATCTCTAAACAAACTCAGCCATGTATATCAGAGGGAACGAGACATGTACATGAACAAAAATATACTCCCTTCTAAACATTTGATAATATTATTATTATTATATTATTATATAATAATAAGAAGAAGAAGAACATTTTTATAGCGCCTATCATGCAATAATGATCTAGGCGTTTAACAAAGTGAATAAATTAGAATTAAGATAAATTTAAATTTGAATAAAATACATGTAAGGTAGGTTTTAAGTTTATACGAAAAAGACTTAGATTCTCGCATGAGCGTATGTCGTCAGGTAGTTTGTGCCAAAGCTCGGGGGCTAAGACAGCGAACGCTCTAGATCCATAGGTCTTAAATCCCCTTGGCCGTAGCATCTTTCTCCCCTTATGAAATTTACACAAGGTAGAACTATTTTCTGCTTTTATATCACACTTAGATGATATGTTAAGCTGAAAATGTTCATGAAAGTGCAAGTCTCTTCAATCTGAAAGAAAAAAAATATGAACCCACGACCTAGAAAACCTAACATACCACGCTAACCACCAGACCACTGCGGATGTTAAGTACATAGAGCATCAACGCCAAACCCGAAAAAGAACCTAACCAGTTTCGAAACAGTGCTTAACCCTAATCAGCAAAGGCAGTGCTTAGGCCCTAATCAGTGAAGGTAGTGCTAGAGTTAAGCACTGCCTTATACAGATTAGGGTTAGGAAAACTACCTTGTGTAAATTCCATGAGGTGTCCGAAGGGGCCACGGTCGATGGGATCTAATGATAACCCTGCGACTAGCCTGCGTAGCAGGCGCTTGGAAGTAGTGGCGAAAGAGAGAACGGGCGCGCGCGAGGGAGACACGCGAGGGCTACCTCTCCCCTCGCGTGTCTCCTTCTCGCGCGCCCGTTTTTTCTTGTGCTCACTAGTCCAAGCGCCTGCTACGCAGGCTACCCTGCAACCCTTGTAAATGTAAAGAGCTGGTTGTTAGAAAGAAAAATCACAATGTACTCTACTCTCCAATTAACAATATTCCTCAATGTAATAGCTTCGTTTTACTAGGAGTAACTCTACAGACTGACGGGAAATTCAATGAGCATGTAAGAACCAAGCTCCATTTATTGTAATGATACACTTTTTTAATATATACGTATAACGTAGATATTTTTATCATAGTTTTTATCTTCTCTTATTGTAACATAAGATATGTAGTTTTATCTTTTGGTGAAATAAAGACTCATTATTATTTATTATTATTACTAGAAAGGGTCGTAAACACAATACAAAAGCTATGTGATGTACGCAATGCATGCTGGTAATAGAGCGCTCAGCTAGGTCGAAAATTTTATTTGATTTTAATTTTGATTTGATTTCATTTTACTTTGGTTTCATTTCGTTTTATTTTGATTTCACCTGATTTTACTTTCACTTTTCTTAAAAAATAATAATTAATTCCTTCAACTGAAATGCGGATTTTTCGATTGGCAGTTATCGGCCGGCATAGAGTAGATCAGTGCTTTTATAATCTTTATTCTTTGCTTTTCTATTCCCATAATTTTATCAATCGGTTTTTGATTTTCTTTTTGCTGTTTATGCTCATGAAACTCTTTTTTCAATTATTTTTTTTTAATGTAAATCAACAGAGCTGATGCTTTCATTATATGCTTAGATTATTTTTTAACTTTCGATTTCATTTTTTCTAACTCAAATTAAAATCTTCTTATCTAAACTACAAACCCTACTTTTTAACATCTGCTTTTAATTTACATTACTCAACGAATCTTAATTTAGCAAATGCGATTGATAAAAGCAGATTGTAACATTGTTTATTAAGTGAAACGTTTCTCAATTTTCAAATATGCAAATCATTGCTCTTGAGCCTCACTAATTTCCATTTTTACTGCTGAATCATCTTTTGTATCTTCTTGCAAATCTTCTTGCAAATCATCTTGCAAAATGTCGTGCGAATCATCTTGTGAGTCTTGTCTACCAATTCGTAAAGCTTCAACTTGTTTGTCAGTTTGTTTCTTTTTCTTTTCTCGCTGTTTCTGCTTTCTTTTGAATTTAGCCACAATTTCCTTCTCCATGTCGTCAATTTTTTGTTGTAAATTTCTCCTTTTCATTTCTTGGTCTGTTGCTTGTGTCAATAAGGGAAAAATCTTCATCGCATAAGCTGAAAAATGTTTCAGCTTTGTCACTCTTTCATCTGGCATTTTTGTCAACTCCCGTATGATTTCAGCTAGATTAAATGAATATGTACGATTAATGTCAAAATTATACTGACTTGAAACGTCTTGTATTTCTCCTCTTCGCGTCTTGATTTTTTCCACATAGTTTTCCAGTCGGTCTTGAAGCTGTTTCAAGCTTTCAGGCATCATAAAATCCAAGTCTTTACCAGACAGAGTGCTTCACTGATTCACTAAATTTCTCACTGAAATTTTCAGACTGCTAGCGTTTCACTAAATTTTTCACTTTTGTAAAAAAATATGTGTAATCATCTGATTGGTTAAAAAATGGGAAAAACCCCCTTCTAGAATATTCTGTAAACCATTAAATATTAAACCAGTGGCGGATCCAAACCATAAGATAAGGGGGGAGCCCGGTCATCCAGACTGTGAGATAAGGGGGGGGGGTCTCAAAAAAAAGTTTTTTCTGCCCTTCGGGCCTCAGATTGGTCTAAAAATAAGGGACGGCCGGGCCCCTCCGCTGGATCCGCCACTGCGCATGCGCTATTTTCAGATTAAGCGGGGATAATTTTCTCGCCTCTGTCCGCAGACTTACGAGGAGGAAATGTTTAAGTTATTTCAAGTTGGATGTAGAGACTTTTTTGTTTTCTGGCCTCTGCCTGTCTTTCTATGGCATTTTCCTTGTTTTTATTCTTGATAAGTCCTGCTCAATCCGGAGTCTGTGGATGCTCCTAACACGATCTTTCTCGGACGTCTCTGCAAAGTTTCCTTTTTGGCAAATGACAGAGTAATTTAGACTTGCTCTCATTCATAATAACAAAAACTTAAACGCCGTGGTAGCTTTGAAACA